CTTTCAGGATTTGTTAATAGTTCTCTCTTACATTTAATTACATATTACATATAACCAATAGAAAAGTCAAGGTATTCATTTATCAAATGATGTATTGTATAATGCTATGTTCTGAATGGTTAAATGTCAGTTTCACTCAGAGTACCAACATCGTTCCTGTGAGAAAGTTAACAACTAGATTGGATGAACTTATAATGACTCTTGTCACACAGTTGGAAAGCCAGAAGAATTTTGCGAGGTAAGAGAATTTGTCTACTTTTTGCATGTTATTAGTTTATATTGTTTGGTGCATTATTTAATTAAATAAAAATTATTAAGTGCATTACTATCATTAGTATACAAAATTAAGGTTAACTCTCTTCAACAATTGACAACAACAAAAAAGAAGATTGGTTAAGTATTTTAATTCTTGTTTTTCATGTTTATTCTTTATGTATAATTATAAAAGTAACTAAAATGTAAAAATAGGAATACTTTTAGGTTAGTTAAGATTAGATTAGGTAAAATAAATAATAATAATATAATAAAAATGTTTCACGAGGTACACACGCAAGCAGCTTGTAGTAGCTCATTGGTAATGTAATTCATTAGCATAACATGAGCTGCACGTTCCGCTAGGTGATTTAAAACTTACAATGGCGTGGATGGTAGTTAGACACACTTCAAAGGGCAATAAAACGTAATTATAAATAGATGTATACTGTTACGAACTTAGAGCTACTTAGGATAAATGAAAGTAGCTTCATGTTACAATTTGAAATGGCCCCCCTAGTGGCATAGTGGTATGTCTGCAGACATATACTGATAGAAACAGGGTTTTGATACTCATGGTGGGTGGAGCACAGATAGTCCTTTGTGTATAATAAAAAACAAACAAACAATTTGAAATCATATTAGAAAGAAAAAAAGGATAATTTTGATTTTCTTTTGGTAGTTACAAGGTCGGTCGATTTTAACGATTCCATTTTGAGATAGGGTAAAGAAAATAACACAAACTATAAAGTTTTACTGAAGAAAAACTTTTGATATGCATTTAGGAGATTTTAGGGATTACACAAAGGAAATTTGAGATTTTTGAGATGAAGAAAAGTATTTTCGATTTTAACAAGAAAATTACTTTGCACAGGGACTATTGAAAACAAATACTCAATATATTCATGGACAAATCTTTATTTTATTTTGTTAAAAATACTTCAGTAAAAAATTAAGATTTTTTTTATATGTGAAAGACGTAATATGAACTGAAAGACTGCCAAATTTTGTGAAGATATACACATTATATTGAAAGTTAGAAGTATTAAATCTATAAAGACTTTAAACGAGTACAAAGAAATCATGTGGTCGGTCAAATTGACCGAGCCCATGTTGAGAGAATGAAAATGGCATTCTAGCTCTAATATTTGTCATCTACCTCTACAAGCAGCATAATAAAACTTAGACCTTTTAAATCAATATATACTGCTATTAAAGATAGAAAATTTGAATTTATCCTCCAAATTCTAATAGTACATCACTTATCCTCTTTCCTAGTCAGTATGCTGTTAAAATGGTGCTTAGTTGTATGAATGATTACAAGTAACCATTCTTTCTATCTAATAAGCATGAATTAGTCATCCAAGGTTACGTTGACATGTGTTGAGAACTAACTCAGACATGGTATTATTGAAATACAGTTATTAATTTAGTAGGTATTCAAATTTGTTGAATAACACAGGGCTGCAATGTTTTTATTGTCTTGAAATTTTTACATTCTATGGTAATTCTTGTACACTGAATCCGAAAATGATATCCATTTTTCTTCATCATGTACAGATTTTTCACAAAAGTCTTATGTACTTTTACATATGTGAAT